GAAAGGACCCTAGTAGCAATTATTGTTGGCATTTTGATGGGTCTTTGATGCACTATTGGTTGGCCAACGGTTAGAATTGTCAATCTTTTGTACAACTGGGCCAACCGATAACATCCAATGTACGGCCCATGTCACTATGATACGAAGGGCCAACTGGAGGTTTCTTTCTGTAGGGCCAATTGTTGAGTATCTACAATAAACTAATAATAGAAAGACAGTTGGCTATACTACACTTCCATAAAATCCTTTAAAACTATTTGAAGGAGTATAACACTGGAAATAATGAAGCGGTTTGCTCTTCCCGCCACATACACTAAACACCAAATAAGAGCATAACTGTTTCGCGCATCACGAATGAGCATGAGAGGTCTCTCGAACCCTTTGTTCCCCCACTTTCTCGCTTTCTGTAACAGGGACGATAGAATTTGTGATACACCGTGTGACATAATGAAGTATTTCTCAAGACATGAATACTTATGAATTGGCACGTTTGTATTTGACAGTCACTCGATGTATGATGCTACACGAGGCATACTGATGCTGAATTGTTTAAGACGTTGGTAACTAAGGTAACCGATAGGAATATGCGCAAACAAGACCGAAATTCGTCATTTCGCAATTATGGTCTTATTTGGTTTTTAGTGTACAAATATGTGTCGCTCTTACCGGCGACCCTACCGCGCTCTCCTTTTTCCTTCTTCTTGTGTTCTACCGCGTGCGAGAGACATGTGCAATACTAATAGTCATTAAAGCGGAATAGAATAGTTTAATTAGATATTACCATTATATACGTATATATACTCGTGTGTGTGTTAGTAATAAAGAAAGTGCACAACTTAAGTCCGCTAGTTCTTTACACCCTTTCAAATAATATTTATAATTATAAGTTATTCTCAATCATCTGTCCTCTGACTCTGTTTTCACAAAATTGCAAATGTCAAATGTGTTGCGCGACAGTAACAAACTGTGAGTATATTCATAAATAAGGAAACAAAAAAATCAATTTGAAATATAAGTTTTTGGTTGCAGCAACGTTTCTGACGTCTTTAGGACGATATTTAAATGTTGGCAAACTTTGGGTGGGCCAATGTTGTATTATTATTGTAAATTTCTTGTTAAGTAACCAACTATAATAATTGTAGGCCAAGCATTGGATATTCTTTGGCAAATGATCATAACTTTTTCGTCGTAGGCCCTATTTTGGGAATTTGTAGGCAAAACACTAACTGTATCCCAACTAAGTCCCAACTGTTGGATACCGTTGTCCAATCATTAATGCTACTAGGATATAATTTCGTTTTTTTCAGTTAGATGTCGTGAATCGTATTATTAAGAAGACAGTGGGCATTCTAACTTATGATATAAAATCATTATACATGGTGTAACAAAAGTGTTGGTGGACCCGGAAGTGGGAGACTCGTGAGGTGATTTGAGACAAGTTTATCCTTAGCAAAAATGTTATCTAAGTCTTTGTCAACGAGATATTAATTAATAAATAGCAATTAAGTAATTCTTAAAGTGTGCTATCTTTTTGTGCTTGAGTGTAAGTTTAAAAATGATTATTTCTGCACTTACTTCTGTAACATACCTCCTTTATCCTCTTTGCATTTATTTATTCTGTGACAGACCAAACTGAAATAAGGTACAATACTATGTGAAAAAACATTATATACTACCTATCCTGACTTAAAAAACTAAATTCTCACAAAACAGTTACATAGTCCGTTCAAAGAATAAATTTTCTAAAGCCTTCAATTGGGCCATCAAGTATCTGCTCAGGCACATGCAATTTCGTATATTTCCATCCAGCAGTATTGAATTACACCAAGAACTTCAGTATCGCAACGACATTCGATAGAAAATAATCTGAATGAAATTGATCTTAAATTAACAACCATCTACAGAATCCTTTCGATTATCGTCCCGAATTCGGGTCCGCGCCGGGACAATAATCGTATAGGGAGAAATACTTCAGACCCTCGTAAATTCGTTTGTTGCCCAAAGCACGAGCTTCGGCATCAAAGTATGCGCTTGGCAGGTTCCATATCCCTCCTCCGCAGTGATGGGTATAACGCCTGGATAATAATCGTGTAGAACAAGCCAGACAATAATCGAGACGAGACTGTACTGATGTTTAATAGCGGCCAGTTCGATAAATTCGTCAAACAGTTTCACAAGCGAGCTAGCTTACTGACAATGAACGCCGATGTAGTTATAAATGTCACCGATTAGGGCGAAAGGCCTTCAGCAGAAAGTGAAACCTGTTCTTAAACTACGGCCGGGAACGTGTCGTATTTAGTTAATTTTGTTCTCGGAGCAATCGTTAAGCCCCCCCAAGCAATAAGTAGGCGCACGTGTTTCGAATGGAAACAGGCGGGGCTCGATAAAAATTCCGGAAAACGGTCCTACCAAGCACAGAAAACAGAAAAAATCACCTACCGCAGGATGGAGAGATCGCGACGCTCGCGTGTGCCATCGACGTCCGATGCGCCCGCATTATCAGCGTACAGACTAATCGATGGTTCCGTAAATCATTTTAACGCGCATTGATTTTTCATTTACGGTATTTTAAACGGACAGTCGCCAAGCACGAGAGAACCAGCCTGACTTCTCGATATTCAAGAAAAGTGCGGCCAATTTGCTGGCGAACGTAACAGCTCCTCCGCGATAACTAGACTGCGGATTTTATGCATTTATAGCCTCCAGGACTCTGTGAAATACAATAAAAGGAACAAATTTTATCGGATCTAACGAGTTTCCTTTATTTTATTCTGAACCTAATAAGATACTTAAGAGAAACAATAAGTTTTGTTTATTTTGGCGATGTCGCGCACGCAACCTTGAGAGACATGGACTCGGAGAACATGGTATTTAAAGTTTTGCATTTTTTTTAGTATACACAATAACTTACACAACAGCTCGTTATTCGGCAGAATTAAACCACGCACTCTCTACTTCTTGAAAAACATTCGTTTCAGTCATACCGTGCGACGATCAAGTTAAGAGAATTAACTGCACAAATGGACGATTTTACGATTTTATATGATAAGCAAGGTTTAGTTCTTTTGGTGTATTTGTATTGCACAATTGATTAGTTAAAATTATCCAATGTAGAAACTTTAATATTATGATTTTATTTCTACACTTCGTATTGTGGCTCTAATAATTTTATCACCCACTATAAATTCACATAATCATTTTATGTTATCTCCAATTATCAAATCTCCTTTAAATATTGTTGTTCTTTTTTCATTTATGTATATCCTAGTTGATTATATTATCCATACCTTATCGTTCACTCTTGTGGTCGTTCGTAAACAATTAAACTTAAACTGAGCAAAAATTTGTAACTTACCTTCCTAATACCCTCTCATTCACCTGCTGTTCATGATTATTCCTTTTGTTGCCATTTATCAACGTTCAATTGTATTAGAGTCATTCCAAGCGAAGTGGTCCAATGTCGTTGCTCGACCATTTTTGTTTAAATCCAAATTTTTGTACATGTTCACCCTCATATGTAACCGGAATATTTGAGAAATTATAGAAAACAGAAAGAATTAAGTCTCAGACTTGAAACTTATCAAATTGCCATATGCTGTACCAAGGAAAAACAGCATTAAGTTTGAGACTTAGCCCCTTCTTGACGAAACTTTCAATCAGTAATATAAAGATATATATATTCAATTTCAATATATATTTCTGTATTAAAAATATTAATTTTAAGTTTGCTAAATAAAAAATATAAAAAAAAAAGTATTTTTCATTTTTCTAGTAATCAAACTTGCAAACTAGACTCAAATTACGGCTAGTAGAATTAGGTTTAGGATAAAAGTGTATAGAACAATAATTGTAGCTTGTTCTTTTCTGAAAACCATGCTTCTTGTCCTATGTTGCTGTGATTATCAGACATTGAGATACTTTCATTTCCGCTAACACCCGAAACCGCAAGAAATGTGATTCTACCTTCCGCAGAACACAAATATGGTTCTTACGTGCAAACAAACAATCATTAGAATAAACTGACGCTTGTTTTCAAGTGTCAACATATGAGGGTAAACATACACAAAAAATTAGATTTTTAAAAAAATGACATTGGACCACTTCGCTTGGAATGACCCATTGTCGTTTCTATTATACACCATTTGATAAAATCCAATTCTTTCATTTGCAACGTTATTAACTAGAACGTACCTTATACAAGGTGTCTCCAAAATCGTGGTCCAATCGGAACGAAGGTGATTCCTCATATCAATAAATCAAAATATAGAATAAAATTTTTTTCATACGAAGTTCCGATTTCGAGAAAATCGTGTTTGAAGATTCATCCAAACTCCGTGTATAATATAGTGTTGGCAGTGCATAAGTAGAAACGGAATGCAATGAACAGACGCGCTAACCAAGTCATATTCAATTACACGCGTGTATCCAGGAGATTTTCAAATTCGATTATGTATCTGGAAACTGAAACCTTCAATAAAAAGATACTATTCTTTTTTTTACGACTTATTTTTGCATGTAGAATCACCACCTGACCGATTGTACCACCCGCCTTGCGACACCGTGTATGTCCTATTTGAATATGGATTATATAATGTTTGTATTCTATTTATTTCAGAAACTGAAACTGTGCTTCAAGACACGGTATATTTCTATTGTATTTTAGTATTTTTATAATACCGTATATTCTAGTATTTAAGGTACAGAATAAAAACAGAAAGATTGAAGAAGAAACAAAAATTGCCTCACATTTTTATCGACATCTACAAAAATATGTAATGTTGAAAAAATAAAACAATTGGATTACACAAACTCTTAAAAATTGTTCATTTCAAAATAATTTCCTTTAGTGATCGTTAGATATACTAATAGGATATGTACACAAGTACTTCAACTTGATTTCATTTGAAATGTATACGCTAGATTTTATAAGAAATACAAAACGACAGAAACAAACTACTGGGTCATGCATTTACTAACAATAATAATAATTTCTGACTCACCCCTACTAGTAGCACGTGTAATGTTGCAACATACTCCTATTAAAAGAAAAAAGAAAAAATAATTATGGAATAATGGAATTACATTAAAAATGCTGAAAATACATTTGAATATTACACATAGTTCACATATAGGGTGATTCACCTAACTTACACATTTGAGTAAATCCTAAATTGTACGTAGGTTGAAAAATTGTCGTATATAACAGATGCATGGTTTTGACGAGGGCCATTCCATAAGATATGCACTATCTTTGTGAATGGAGACATCCAGATACTTGAGGATTAATATTAATAATATTCATATTTTCATATTAATAATTATAATTATTTTTTTGAACGATGATGTAGTCTTCATGACACAGTTCAAAAGAATATGGAATTCTAAATAAAAATGCAAACATTTTAGTTGAAAAAACGAAATTGACCTTCAAATGTTCGAAACGCCTTTACCTAGAAAGAAAGTAAAGTTTGGAGATAAGACGACAGTCAACATTTCAGCTCACTACATTCAAACGTTATGAAATGCCCCCCCTCGAAACCATAGACAACTTCTATAAACAACATTTCAACCACCTAATAATAATTTACGAGTTTTCAGCTGTTAGGTGACTCGTCTTGTATTAACGTGATGTTCGGTCCAAATAATTTCGAAACGCTACAAAATTATGGAAATTTCCGTAACAAAAAAAAGGAAATCATTTCATCGGTGGAATAAAAACAGTGGATTACTTAATAGTAGGTATTCTCTAGATTATTTAATTAACTGAAGTTTACTTGTCTTTACTCTCAAAGTTTGTATTATATGCATTTATAGTATGCACAATTGTCTAGAATTCACTGTGCTTAAAAGTCTGGTAAAGTTTTATGGAGTTTTTACTGTATCTATAAAGAAACACTGCTTCGAATCGTTTAGCGTACGCTGCACTCATGTTGAAATTCGAGTCGTTTACAATGACGGACGAAGCAGAACTGACAGATTCTTAATAACGCGTCATAGTGTTTCAGATGTACTGCAAACTTGTATTTAAATTTTTGAAAAATATAAATTATTCTTCCAGATATCGTTCCAACGCTTTTGTGAAACAGATTGTATATAAATTTAGTATATAATACAGATAAATTGAGTGAAACTTTTTAAATTGTACAATTAAGTGGAACCCTTTATAGTAAATTTGTATTAATAATAAATCAATAATACTTTATATTAATTAATAAATCAATAACTGTCAGACCGTCTTCTTCGTTTCACTGTGAGTCGAATAGGCCGTACTGCACTTTACTCTGTGATCTTACAGTGCTCGTAACAATATTATTACATGTTATTTTTTCAGACAATCACATTTACATACTAGGCAAACAAAATGCACTAATTGTAGCTTTGCAAACGGTACAGCAGGATAAGGTGACGAAAATGTCCTTAGATCGATTTGGACTTGTGATACACCATTCGATAGCTTTTCAATTCCTATTGTCAGTTTTCTCTCTGTTTTTCCTGTTTAATGATGTGCCAAAATGAGTATCCCAGTTGTGAAAAATCAAAAACGCTAAAAAACAGTGAAAAATAATTGTTTCTTATTGAAGTTTTAAAGGCACCACATCTATCTATTCCCAATAGCGACATATTATCATAAGTCGTACCCTCAATTTTTCTGCAGACTTTTTAGTAGAGTGCGTCGTAATTACATAGTACAGTACTTATGTTAATATGTTGCTACTGTGAAAGGATAAATGTGGTGCCGTTAGAAAATCAATAAGAAACATATATTTTTCATTATTTCGTTGCGCTTTTGATTTTTTTCACAACTAGGATACCCAACTAAACAATCGCAAAAAAAATCTCCAACACGCGCCCTAATAAATATTATCTATCAGATTTTTTACAGAATTTTTGCACGTCATTAAACAGGGAAAATAGAGGGAAAACCTACAATCCAACTTTTCCCTATTACTACCTTCCTGATTGAAACAGAGGATTGAAACTTGGCACAGGCTATTTTTCTCTGGGCACTTCGGACCCCCTTATCCTGCTACAGTAGACTCGCGTTAAAGTAGCGGTGCGGAACTTTCGAGGCGGGATTTTCGTAGAAACAGAAGTATCTAGGTGGTAGTTCGGTCGACCCATCAATTGGATCAGAACTTTTTTTCCTACTGCTACTTTAACGTGCGCTACTTTAACGCGAGTCTACTGTATACCCGTTTCAAGTTTGCAGATGTTTCATTTTTTGGATTCTCCCGCACGAAACGATGTAAATTATTATTTTATTATAGGCATCTAAATACGTTTAAATAATGATCAAAGTGAAAAAGGCACCCAACATGCACCATGTTTTCTGATATTTTTGAATTACATGCTAAACGATATTAGATGCAGTTATGCTAAGTATCCGCGAGAAACTGCCAAAACAGCGTTTGCAGATTTTTAGTCAGCTCTGTCGTACCGAAAGAGTTAAAACTTGACGTAGGTGAAAAATGAAGCTCCGTTTAAAAACAGTATTATTTTTTCCTCTCAGTTGCTCATCCCGTAATGGATTCCATCCTTTTCGGTTGTACGAACAAATTACCGCACCCTACGTACCGAAATTCTTTGGACTTCGTGACAAGCTTCCGTGCGCTTAAATAAATGGCGGCCCTTTGGGTTACACGAGGTTCGAGACCGTCGTAAATGGAACTCTTAAACGGACGCATTAACAGCGACACGAAAAACTAATGAAGCGCCACGGGATAAAAATCTCGAGAAAGAATTTCTCGATTATCAATACGCTGAACTGTTTATGGGTACGTACATATTTAAAGTTAACTGTATATATACGGTTACAGAATGAACCGGCTGCTCGGTTAATTATATTTAGCTTTAAATCTTTCTGTTATCGATGCTACATTAATGACCGTGATATTATCGTATGGTCTTTAAGAACGTGTTTCGCTCGACCATTCATTATTTTTAAGTGTTAATGTAAATTTTGCGAAGGACCACAGGGCTTATAAATCTTTGCCGGACGTTTGCAATGTAGTTTTTTTTCCAAAGTTTATCGAACGCACGTTTAGACACTTTTGTTTTTCAAATTTTTCATGAATTTGTCCTGTAGGTGTACTATGTATCACCAAATTACATTTATCTACGATAAGAGAAAAAACTGTCCGCACAGTAAGGACGTGTAAACAAAAAGTGCTTCATTATTTGTATTACTAATTCTTAGGCTACAAAGATTTATGTATAAAATTACATTTTTTTGACTTCTGTTTATAAGAATCAGAACTCGGATATCATTTTTGCTAAAGAAAAACAGTAATTATTCGGAATAGTTTTCGAGATACTCAGGAAAATATGTTTCAATTTACATGATACTTATCAGATTTTTATTTATTAATTATTTATTATACCACGCACCCAACATCCTACCAAACACAACACACACACACACACACGATGTGCTCTGGGGCCCGACGAAGAAACTTCTTTCTTGTTTTTGGAGATAGGAATAACTAAACGTGTGTTTGGTGGGATGTTGGGTGCGTGGTTAACAGTGGCTGATGTGTCTTTAACCAACTCTGTCATTACAGACTGCCAGTCATAAATCTTAGTTTAACAAAAGTTTTTTGTGAATATCCGAAAAAAAGATAGAAACTTGTCTATTGTTCTGGGGGAGCGACTGCTGGCCCCACCCCCCGCCAGCTAACGAATCTAGTCTCAAACCTACTCCGATTACTCTTTCAAATATGTATCTTCTCTAAAATATTAGATACTGCCAATTCTTTCAAGGTCAAAGTCACTCAGGACGTTGACCTTACGACCTAGTCAGGGTCAAGGTCATTCAGGACGTTGACCTTACGACCTAGTCAGGGTCAAGGTCACTCAGGACGTTGACCTTTACAACCTAGTCAGGGTCAAGGTCATACACGAGGTTGCCTTTTTTCTACATAATTACCCATACAGAATAAAATACAGTACACAGTATCCAATATATTTTTGCGAATATCTCGGAAACTAAAGCCCAGCGGCGGTAACATGTATAGGGAAAAGGTATTCAGAATGATGACCTTGACAACATATTTCAAGGTCATTGGAATCGGTGACGATGAACCGATTCCGAATAATTACCGGGAAAACTTGTTTCATATCACCTCACGAGTCTCCTATTTCCGAGTCCTCCAACATTTTTGTTAAACCTTGTATAGGTACAGAAGGATAAACAAAATTGCAGCGAGCAAGGTTTAATTATTTGAAAAATCAATGCTGCTGAATGTAGTGCATAAATATAAGAATTTGCGTAACATAACGTACGAACCTACGAAATTATTTTTAAAAAGTGAATATGCGCAAACACTTTTTGTAGCCAATGCACATTCGTATATTATTCGCGTATGAAGAGAATCTCATTAATTATGAATGTCTGTTACCGCCACTATTATCGAAGACATAAAAAATGATTAAACGGAGGTTACATGATTTTAAAATCTGCATCTCATCTGGCAATACTGAAAACATTTTTTGAGCTATGTAACCTACTTTTAGTCATATTTTCATTACGACAATGTTGCCGGAAATCTTTTAGATCTTCAGAATTAGTAGGACAACTTGTATACACATTAGTAATAACAAATATAGTCAGTAAAAAGTATCAGTATAAAACTATAGTCATGAGGGAAACGGCTGATAGGAGGGACTTGTTTGAATGGTACGAAACGCAAAAATGAATAGTTTTCGCCATTAATGAATACACACAATTTTAATTAATTAATAATCACAGCATCTGCAGGCGGCAGTAGTTTTATACCTCATCTGGTACATGATACTTAACTGCACACATCGTACACTTTCGATTTAATAAAAGAACTTGGAAGTAAACGATTAATATATTGAGTCAATGCAGTTTAATGAGTTATCTGCAGACGATACAATCGTCATGATTTTGTGGAAACAATAAACAATCATATTAACATATTATTTGTCGATGTCAATATAACACAGTGAATTCGTCTTTAGTTCAAAAATTGACGCGATTGAGTTTATTTAAAATAAAAACTGAAATTGATCT